TCATGAGGTTGTCCATCTCGGCAAGAGCGGTCAGCGAAACGCCCGAATCCAGGGCGGCGCGGGCGACCCCCGGGTCCAAGTGCGGAAAGTCGTCGAGGGGGGGCGCTGCAGGTTTGGCCTCGGCCTTTGCCTTCGGTTTGCTGCCCCGCTGTGTAATGAGACGAGGGTCCCCGACGTCGCCCCCGCCGCGAGCAACGAGCGCCTTGACCCCGGCGGCTATCTTGGTCACAGCGGACTCGAGCCTGTCCACTCGAGAGCCTAAAGGATCGTCTGCTGGGGCACTTTCGGCGGAGTGGAATCCATAAGCTTCTGAGCAAGCGGCTGCAAGGGACGGGCCGTGAGGGCAAAGAGCCACGCCTTGAGAGTCCTGGCCAAAGGCATAGTCGGGAGCGGCGAGGCCGTGGAAAGAGACATTGGCTTCCTGACTCAAGTCCAGCAGACCAGCCCAAACCCGCAAAGCCTGAGAGGGCAAAGGCTGATCTCTCTCCTCCACCGTCACTGCAGCAACGTCGAGCAAGGCAGGCCGTCCAAGAGTGCCGTTGGGAAGCACGCGCTCCTTGACCTTGCGAGCCCAAACGGCCTGCGGCACAACGACCACCACACGGGCCCCAAGCTCCATAACTGCCGCCAGCTCGCAGGAGGCCATCTCGTCTCCAGCCGCAAAGGAAAGGAGGCCCACACAGTAATCTATGTCCACATCGGGATTGGAGACGAGACAGTCCCTCAAACCCAGAGCTTCCCCATCCGGGTCTTCCTCGTCTGCTGCTGCAAGGGATGGGCCCGCTAAGGCATCGGTCATGCTCACTGGTAGGAGGGCTCGGGAAGCCCGGCCGCACGGCAAACAGCAAGCACGTCAGCACGATTAGGCAGGCCAATAAAAACGGCCTCGCCGCAAAGGGAGCCTTGCTTGCAATGCACCTTGGCGGCACAAAAAGTAGAGAAGGCTCGCGGCGGGTTCCAGTCGACCCCGTGATAAGTTCGGAAGACAACCCAGACCTTGGAGCCTTGAGGGATCTGATCTCGACCTGAGGCGCCTCGGTGTTGTCCTGCCAAGGAGGCTGCGATCCACTGTCCAATGCGCACGCACACCTGATCTCGCTGCGAGCGAGGCAGCTCGGGCACGCCCGGCTCGGGGGCCTGAAGGCCCTGCAAGGGATCGGTCTCCCCCGGGGTAACAAGCACAGAGCCACGCAAAGAGCCCGACACAAGTGAAGGGCTAGCAGCACGCAACTCGGAGCTCGGCTCTGCACTAGGCTGGGAACCTCTAGCAGGAGCTGCTCGAGGGGGCGTTGCAGGCACCACCTCGTAGCCGTCGTTTTGCTCAACTCCTAAGAGAGCCCGCAGCTCGGCAACTTCGGCCCGCAGATATGCAACCTCAGCCTCCAACCTTTCAAGCCTGGCTTGCATGCAACCGAAAGGGAGGGGCCAGGCGAGGGGAGCAAGGGACCTAAACCGAAAGGGGCTCGGGAACCTAGGGAAGGACTAAACCCTACCTAGGAGCAAAGGACCCGATAAAAGCCAGGGCCCTGGAAGGCAGCCGCCAGGCGGCGAAGCAGAAGGCCTCGGAGAAGGGCAACCGCCTCAACGATCGGTAGCAGCAGCACTCCCACCCCAACCCCTAAGAAGAAAGATCCCAAGTCAAACCTTTCAGGTGAAGGGCACAGAGGGCACGAATCGACAAAGGAAGGAGGAGGCGAAGAGAGGAGATGCCAGAGGAGCGACGCGATGGAAGCCGAGGAGAGAGAGGAAGCGACAGCGACCTCACGAGACATGTACTCGGTCCGAAAAGCTAGGTCCAGGCGTTAAACATGTTGCTCATGTTGAACATGCCCTTCCCCACAAAGGCACACGAGGTCGCTCTGACCATTTTCACGCACCGCTTCCAAGCGAGGGGTCGGTGGACGTCCGCAGTCACCGCCAAAGCTTCGTAGGCTGCTTAAAGAGGGTCCCGAAGGCCAAAAGTAGCAGCTAAGGCACCACAGCGAACTGTACTTTCCACCCATAGGAAGGGCCAGCCGGGTACGGCGAGCACGCCGAGCCTGCAGGCTTGTGCGGACACGTGCGGGCTCCTGTAGCTATACATAGGAGGAGGCCAGGATGTCGTAGCAGGCGGCCGCGGCCTTGATCCTTCTCGAGGCCACGCTGTTCAAAGCCGCCAATGCAGAGACAGCGCCCAGCTCTTGCAGATAGAATTCGAGGGTATGAAGGTGTTTCAATCTCATCCTCCACTGGATCTCGGTCACCGCCACGCCCTTGCGATAGGCTTCGACGGCACCTCCGCCGCGAAGCCCACCTGGGGTGAGGCGCAGCTCTGCCTCCAGCCCGAGCTCCTTCAAGAGCACGTTCCACCTGTAGCGGTAAGCAGAAGCCGAAGAGGGGCTCGTTCTTGTAGCACTGACCGAAGACCTTGGAGATGAGGGTCACGGCGACCGGATCGATGACCTTGAGGTGTTGGACTTTAGGTCGCCCACGAGTAGCTGTCTTTGACGACCCCAGCCTCAAAAAGACTTGTGAACTCTGGTTCCAAAGGTCGTCGTTGGGGAGGAGCAGGTCTCCGCGGTTGCACTGTAGCACCTCGCCGATCCGGCCAAGCCCATAGAAAGCCAGCAGGGTAATGCCCGCAAAGTACCGAAAACCTTGCATCCAAGCCAAAGTCACAATAGCTTTCAGGACGGGCTCAGGGATCGGCGTCCTGTGCTGAGGTGGCTCAGCGTGCTCCCACCTCGTGATGAGCTCCCAGACAACCTTGGAGAAGGGCCTCAAGTTCAGGTATTTTCTCTGCGAAGCCAGCAAGGTATGCCGCAAGCTATGCAGCGACCCACCATTGCAAAACAGCCAGTTGCCATACGCTCGCAGGGCCATGGCTAGGAGCGCGGGGCTACGGCTAAAGAGTTCAAGAGGATCGACAGAGAGACGACCGACAAGCCAGGAGAGAAAGGAAGCCCAACCCTGATCCCCTAACCCCAAGGCTTGCTGGCCCAACAGAGGCCTGGACTCGAGGTCGAACTCCCTCAGAGCACGGCGGGCCCTTCGCGGCCCAGGGTTTTGTGCCTCCTTTCCACAGGCGGTGCAGAGTCGGGCCAGGGCGGCATTAAGGGGGATCCCCTTTGCGGCAGCAACCTTACGAACCTCAAGGGGCCTATCTATCAACCAGCCTACACTAAGGGAGGCAGAGAGGGCAATGGCTGAGGTAAGAGCTTTGGGCAACTCAGGGGTCGATGCATCAAAGCCCTGTGCACGGGAAGCAACCCGCCCACGCAGACGCAGGTGCGGCCGGTCGCAATTGCAGAAAGTTTGCTTTTCGCTCAAACTGAAGCTGCTCACTATCCGAGTGCGCTTTCTCCACGGTGCGCCGAAGCGGCACAACTCGACGCGACTCACACCTTCGCAAGAAGGCCGGGCAGCCGCAGACCAGTCAGGCACCTGCCACACGAAGCTGCCATCGGGGCCATGGCTCCAGAAGGATGCGGAGGCGGGCAAGGCCTCGCGGACAGCCGCGGCCCACTTTGCAAAACGGTTATCTCTAGCATCGATCAAACACACCCTGCGGAAGGTGAGGAAGCCCCAAAGGAGCGCGCACTGACCGTATTGGCGGGTGCCAGGCAACAGAAAAAGTCTCCACGTTGAACGCCAGTCCCAACACCCGCACCAGCCCAGCGCTAGCTATCTGAAGGAGGCTCCCCTGAAGGCTTTGGGAGTGCACATCGGCATCCGGGGTCCGGTGCCCGGACAAGGCGAGGCACCACGGCGCGCCGAAGCGAAGAAGCCCTTTTGCCACCCCGGCGCCGTCGTTGTTGACGTCAAGGACGCCCGGGGCCGAGAAATCAAGCACACCTGTTGAGGGCAAAAACCAATGCCGAGGGAAAGAGGCGAGCTTAACAATAGCGGCCTGAAGAGGTTCAAGACGGAGCCCAGGCGGAGCTCGAAGCCGAAGGGCAGGGGCACATAGCCCTCGGGCGCGCCTAAGTCGGGCGCGACGCGCACGGGCGGGTTTGGT